TGGGCTTGATGTTGACGATGGTCCTGACCATGGTGGGGATGTTGATGGTCCTGATGTTGGGTCTGATGCTGGTTCTGATCCTAATGATGATGCTGGGCTCGATGTTGACGATGGTCCTGACCATGGTGGGGATGTTGATGGTCCTGATGTTGGGTCTGATGCTGGTTCTGATCCTACTGATGATGCTGACGATGTTGACGATGGTCCTGACCATGGTGGGGATGTTGATGTTGATGGTGCTGATGTCCGTGTCGACTGCGGCGGTGTTCCTCGTGGTGGTATTTTTTTTTTCTGTCTTTTCTCCAGCTGCCGAATGACATGTTTTGCCCATTCATCATTGGGATCGGAGCAAATCGTCTTTCCTTTCACTGTACGAAACCTGAAATGTATTGTCAGTTGTTATTATTCAGTTTTATCACTGATTTTCTTTCTAAATACAGGGTTACATGATTTGATTATTTTAAAATCATTTTGTTACAACTGTTTTTTAATAATTAGGAAATCTAATGAAAATGATGTAGAACAAATTGCAATGGTAAAGAACAAAATTCTCTGGAACACCTGAAATAAATATCTGAAAGTTTACAGAACTGAACAGCGATGTTGCGACGAGATCAGATGAAATTGACATGTTCAAGACGGAGTAAGAATATAGACTACTTACGCAATTGCATTAAAGGTACAAATGCCGTCGTTCTGAATGGTGTACTTCTTAATATTAGAATGATGGATTCTTGTTTTGGAGACCACAGTACATGGACATCTACCAGGAGATACATTGCCTAAAAAGATTTAAAAACGAGAGACAGATAATTTAAGTATCACTATATTCAGACCACTTAATCGATACCTTTATTGATATTTTTTGTACTTACTGGCTTGGACCAAACTCCTCCATGTTGTGAAACAGAAAAGAGCGGTTAAGATCAAGCTGATCTGCATCTTCAGGATAAATATTTCCCCTTAAATGGGTTAGCTGTCAAGCCTTTCAGTGAGGACCGTTTCTCAGTAAACAATCTCCCCATATACCGAAACGTATACAAGAGCGAAGAATCCGACCGGTCTTGTTCAGGCGGCAGACTCGTGGTGTTCGTCTTTCAAGCAAGCAGCAGCGTGCTTTCACTCTTCTGAAACTTCGAGTTTTGATCTCAGCCCTTTATGTACTACGCTACAAGCCCCTCTCCCTCCCACCTAAATCGTTCCCCCGCTACTGAGGAGGATTGTCACAGCAGCCACATGGTGGGGAGAGGAAACAACGAGTTGACCTTTCACACGTCAAAGATGTGAATCAGTCCATTTACCAACATGCTGCCCACACTGCAACAAACATGACCCCAAGCATTCCTCGTAATGCTTTTGTAAGCGGGCTTTTGTCACTTTCCACCATACTCTATCTGAAACTTTTGATCTGCTGCTAATTTGATCTCAACATTTTGTTGCTCTAATCTAGTCTTTATTTGCTTCACTTCAATATTAGCCTGTTATTTTTAAAATACCTTACTATCAGTAAGATCCTGTTTACCTGTTCACTAGAGAGAGATGGCCTCATCTGAACTCACACAGTGGACTTTCCTCACTTAGACAAAATAGATGTGCACATATATTAGCTGGGCCAAATAAAATTGGCCCAGCTACGTTTAGTTCCAGCAGTCATTCTAACTTTTTGCAGTTCTGCATATTGTACTGAAGAGCAAAGTTTTCTGACACTGTATATTAAGATTTCATTTGTTGACAGAATTATATCTAAACATTCTGAAGTTTTATTTCATCATAAAAAGTTTTCAGTTCCATTCAGCTCAACTCGGTTCGTTTACATGTGCCAGTAGACAACACGTGTCATCTCAAGGCACTTTACAAAAAAGAAAAAAGTAAATTCACTCCAAGCACAAATGTATTCACATAGATTCTAGTTACCATCCAATGCAATCAAATTCAGTCAAATTTATTTCTCGAAATTGCTTCAAAAAGTTTGAGAAGTCTAAGAATGCCCAATATATTGTTTCAAGTGCCTGACTTGCAGAACTCATTCCTGTCAGTCTAGCATGCACTGACGGTGGACAATCACTTGCATTGTGATGTTTTACGGTTCAATTTCACTTTCATAAAAAGTGAAATCATTGGATTTGTGCACGGCCTTTCAGAAGTCCGAGATGGATTTTTAGGGTACCACAAGAACAGAACAGAAAGTTGTTAAAAAAAATTTGCCAGCACAGTACAGAGAACATGTATGCAGTACTGAAAGTGAATGTGCATGCAAGCCGGAAATGATGCAGATGTTTAGATAAAAATAAACTAAAACACTTTAAAATGGTCAATGTGCATTCGTAAAAACCGAAGTAAGACAGTATTATTTTACCCATGACAAATGGGTGCAATAATCAAAAAGGAAATTTGTGGGGGGATCATGGAGGAGGGTCTTTAAAGACTTTCAGTTGCTCTGTTAAAACTCACCGCAAACCTACTTTCTGTGAATCAGAAAGGAAAACCTGAGTCAACCTGAAACTATGCTTGGCCATGAATTACCACAAAAGTTCCCCCATAATAAATACTATTCACTATGAAACCGGTCTCTATAGTGAGGTTTATCATACAAGTTGGCTTTGCAATGTTGTTTTTTTTTCTAAGATTGCAAATTTATGCAGTTAATGTGTTAATTTAAGCTCTGGAGAAAGACGATTGGCATCAGTCATTTGGTAAACTTACTTACAGCTGATACAAACTAAATTTAACTATTTTATTTTAGGAGATGTCTTGAGCAATACTCTATATGCAATGCTACATTTGACGTCTCATTAAGTTGTGTTTGTAAATTTCATCTCATCAATCTTTTGGAACCCTTTTTATGCATCTTTGCTGGTTTTTACAACCACTTTCATCCCACACATCCTCCTCATTTCTCTTTGTGGCCTGCTCTTTAATCCATCCTCTCCATCTTTATCGCACCAACTCATCAGATAACCCACCTCATCCCTCGTTATAATCTACTCCCCTTGCTGCTCTCAATCTGTAAGGAATCTTTTATTCCCACATATCCATACCATCCCTCTTAAATCCACTTCCCAAGGACAACAAACTCCCACTTGGTGCAACCTTGACTACTTCTGGTAGGGCAAGCAACCCGTCCGTAAAACCAGAAGCACACTATAAAGTCATTGTTCTAAGTGTATCCTCAATTAAAACCAGAAAAGTTCGACTAACTCTTAGGCTGTCCTTTTTCTCATACGTTATATTGTGAGTTCAGAGAACTAACCAGGGAATGTTTGCCAGAGCACATAACTCTTTGTAACAACAGTATGTCCTGGGACCCCACTTGGGCCTGGAGCACATCTTTCATACACCGAGGGATGCTAAATATGGGAAAATATACATATGCTGTCTGGAATCACTCTGAAAAGAGGTTGTGTTCAAAGATCAGGAGGGATTCCTCTACATTCGACTTGGGTTTGCACCAGATCAATGCACAGGTCTGTACTTTTTGATTTTGGCCAAGTCAAGTCCATATCACCAGAGCACCAGAGTCGTTTCCTGGCACATTCTCACCCAAAACGCACACGCAAAGATAAAACCAAAGCATGTCAGAAGATACTTGAGCAGGTTATCTACATTACAACACGAGGAGCATCTAAAGCATGCACAGAAACCGCACTTCACCAAATGTCAGCATCCCTCCGGCAACCTATTTGCAGGAGGAATACCGGCTCGAGTTTTCATTCTTCTTTTATTCATTAGCTGTTGTCAAGGATTGAAGCCAAGGCCGCTGGTTGGCTGACAGTGTAGGAGATAGGAATTAGTCTCCTTAAAAACCAAGAGAGTGGAGCGCAGCATTGCAGGAAATTACAATCAATACACACTCTCATACCCTCATGCTACATCAACCACAAATGGAAATGAGACGCACATTGTCAAGCCCATGCAGACACACAAGGGCAGACTCGACAGCATGGTTCGCATGCTGACTTTCACAGAAAACCATTATATGTGTTAGTTTTGACACAGAACATCTCCTTATCACCGTTCATGGAGTCTCGCTTTTTGCTTCAAACCACAACACCTTGACGCTTTACACATTTCTACTCGAACATGAGTCACTAAGCCAAATTTAGGCTGAGCCCTCTTGACCCAGTTCATTAGAACAGAAACATGTCAGACTGTAGCAGAGAGGTGGCACCATTTTGTAAAATGGTTTCTACCCAGCTCTGAGCAAATAACACAAACCGTACGGTAGAGACGCGTTGTGAGAGGCATGTTGCAAAAGTCAGAAGTAATTAAAGTACTGCCTGATCAGATGAACGTATTTCTATTTCTGGTGAAGAATCATCTCCACGCGAATCGATGTTTAATTTTATCCTGTGTACAACATTCGGGAAAATTATTGATTCATCCTTCGATGGAATTATTTGGATCAGACGTCTGTCTTCGCAAAATCTTTCCAAGAGGCCAGATGTGAAGGCAAGGTATATGTCAGGATTTTAGGTTCGGATGATGACGGCGTCTCAGCGTGACAAGGAGAATGTCTGGTTTTGCAAAGAGCAGAGCAAAGCGGGTCAGTGTCAGAGCTGGAGAAGTGTTGGGGTGGGGGGGGGGGCAGTTCAGCCATGCACACCGATCAATACGCCGACCTTTCCCAGAGTTATTGCATGATGTTCTGCTCTCAGCACCAACACACAAGACACTGTTGTTGTTCTCCAGTACAAATGTGTGTGTGACCATGTCTCATTCCGACTTTTACGACGCCCTGGAAAGAACTCGCACTCATAAAATGTTTTCACCACAGATTTTGATGTTTTACCGAGATTTTAAGTGAAAGCCGACACAATGTGCGTGGCATGTTGAAGGAAAAGAATGAACAGCTTTCTGTTTACCAAAGTGTGGTGTGACATATGTTAAGCCCCTTTAAGTCTAACGTTACCAAGCAAAATTCATTGCCACCGACTGACTTCAGAACTCATGCAGAGTTGTTTCGTAAAGGCTTGAGTGAAGGCCACAGCAGACAGATCAGGGATCAAGATAGGAAGAATGTGAAACAGTTTCCAACCTTTACGCGTATCGGAGCGATTTTCATCTGTCATCTGAAATGGAAAGACTGTAGAACAAATGTAAATCAGCCACCTAAACAAGAGACAAATAATCTGGATTGCAGCTTTGAGGTCCAAACTGACTTTGGAGGACCTGCAAAGATGCTCAACGGGGAGTTGAAATGACACGTATCAATCATATGCCCAAGAAATCTGGTCTTTAAGGAAGAGTGGCAAGAGGAGTCATAGGAAATTGAATTTGCTTTCTGCCACAAGCAGAATGCAAAAATGACCTGGTCATACGTTAGAATGGCGTATTCAAAGTAAGGACCCAAATCCAATTCAAAATTTGATGTTGACGAATGCACTCTAATTTGAAAGAAAGAAAAAAAAAGTTGCAGCCCCTTCATATTACAGTTAGAGTTTGTTGTCGAGCAAACATTGACAATTACACACTACTTTGTGTTGGTCTGGCACAAAAAATCCCTGTGAAAACATTTAAGTCTGTCTGTGTAAAGCGTAAAGATATTGTCAGGTTCAAAGCAGTACATCTTTGTATGAAATTTACCATAAATACTGTTGCTTTAGACACGCATACACACCAGCTGTTAAAATGTTGAACGGATGGTTTTCGACAGATGAAGGCCTTTGACCTTTCTCCCAGGCTTTTGTCTGTTCTTGTGCAATATCGGTGGATAAACTCAAATCCCACGTGGAGTTGAGAATTGTCATTTACTTTCCAATTAATATTTCAATTAGGTAAGTAATGCCCAATTCATTACCAGAAACTGGTGGAGTTCAAATGGAGCTGACCTCATGCCCCAGTATCAATCTCATATCGACACTTTTCTATGAAGCTTGAATTGTGGATCAACCGTCCATTTAGGGAAAACGTCAATAATCGACTTAAACCGAGGACAGAGGGAGCGGGGGAGGGGGGGGGGCACATTACCATACGCATTAGCATAGACATTGCTCTCGCGGCTCTGAGGTGATTTGAATGTCTGCGAGAGTGACCGACTCACGGTTCAGGGGACGCAGGAGCGCACAAAGTCTAATCAATAAGCACTTTAATTATAGCGGCCCACGGCATGCGGCTCTTCACGGTTGGGA